AATTGTGTGACGAGTTGCGGGTGATGCAACGGCACTCCAAAGCCCCGGCGAATGGCAAGGATGGCGTCCGATCGCTGTGGTGGCAAGTTAGCCGTTGATCGAGGGTGTGGGGATGGATGTGCGCTGGAACATCAGAAATAGCAATCCCGTCTTCTGTTCCTGCAGACCGCTACAGGGTCGCAATTTCGGCTTTCGCGACGTTTACAGATGGTCACGAGGTCTACATGCACCGACAGCGAAGGGCTACATGTCCACCGCTCCAATACGCGCCAAGATCCTACGCAGCCAATCGCACCTGCTTGTCATCTAGCGTTGTGTATCCAGCCAGTGATGGGCCTAGCGCGGTGGCTATACCGCGGCTTCCTTGCGCCTGCATCGACCCGCCCTTAACAGCCGGCCGCGCCCATTCTGACTTCAGAGCCTTTCACTCCTTCGGCCTTTGACGTGTCCCCTCGTTTGTCAGACGTCTTTGAGCTCCCCAACAAAAGCAACACAATCTGGAATCGAGCTTCAAAGATCTACGCCCGTCATGCAACCCTCATTAGCGTAACGCAGGAGCACGCAGCGGCTATGACTGAAACTTGGCATACGTCGCGGACAGGACATCGACGACGATTACCGCGTTGAACAGATCCCACGACTTCCCCGCCATTACGACACTGCCTATACTTTTTCTTTCACTTTCTTGCAGAGCCGTATACAGACTAGGGCGACGACATGGCGGCGACCGAAGTCGAGAGGAAGAGCAGGAAGAAGTCCTCGCACTCTTCGTCCAAGACTGCGAAGCCGCGCTCCTCTTCTAGGAAACCACGCGTTTCGGCTTCAGTGGCAGACATGTACTTGCAAGATTACGCGCCTCCGGTCCAGGCGACCTCTCCTCAGCGTGCAGCAGCAACGAGGCCTCCCCCGACCCTCTATGGCTATGCCGCGAGTCCGCCTCAGCACTCCATTTATCGCCAGATGCCTGGGTCCTTTCCAGAAGACAGTTACCGATATGGCTCTCCGCCACCGCAGCCTGTTCAGCCATACGCTAGTCAATCAACGATCCGCTTTGCTTCTCCGCCACCCCAAGAACCCCGCGGTCAAGGCCCTTTCGAACAACAATGGAATAGTCTCGACCGAATGGCCGCCAAATCCTACCTGAATCTTCGCGATACGGCTGGAAAGAGTGTCACGAAACTGACGACCAACTGCATTGAGCGGCCCACCGCAGCTGTCGCTACAAAGAGCATGCAAACGTTGTGTCGCGGAGCTGCGCTATACGATATGATTAGTTCGAAGTTCGACGCAGTCATCACCAGCATTGATGACGATCACTTCAGCGGCAAAGAACAAGACCTCATGATGGAGTTCAGCGAGCAGCAGCAAGAAGAGGCTCAGAGAACGAGCCCTCCTCTTGGTGAACCAAGACGCCGACGCCAACACGAAGTGCAATCCCACTCTAGTAGCGATAAAGGGTCGAATCATTTCTCCAAAGTGTGGCTATACTCCAACTCCCGATTACCACCACATCTGCCGCCTTTCAAGGTATATCTACCAACGTATCCTCTACTTTGCTTGGCCGCAACCTACTCGGAGAAGGCGTACACGCCGCCAGGCACGAAGAAGAATCCCGAAATGGAGACTTTCATTCCTGCTGATTGGCGTAGCGGCACAAAAGCCATGGTACTCAAGTCCATCCCTGTGGAAGAACTGAATACTATCGTCTTCGCTATTCGCGGAAGCCAGACCTTTATGGACTGGGCTGTCAACTACAACTCGGCACCCCACAGCCCGGAGAAGTTTCTTGACGACCCGTCAAACCTGTGCCACGCTGGCTTTCTCTACGTGGCCAAGAAGATGATCAAGCCCGTGGCAGAACGGTTGAAGGTCTTGCTCCAAGAAAACCCCGCGCGTTCAAACTGCAGTCTACTCATCACCGGACACTCCGCGGGCGGAGCAGTCGCGGCACTGCTTTACGGACACATGATGAGCACAAAGATCAATTCTGAGCTTAATTACCTGACCAGCTTCTTCAAGCGCGTGCACTGTGTCACGTTCGGTGCGCCACCAGTCAGTCTGCATCCTTTGAAGAAGCCTGATGACAAGCGACATCGTAAAAGTCTCTTCTATGCCTTCATCAACGAAGGCGACCCGATACCGCGAGCGGACAAGAGCGTGCTGAAAAGCTTGCTGAAGCTCTATGCCAGTCCAGCACCTGTCGCGGCTTCTAACCTTGCTTCGACTGTTGCATCGATGTCTAAACCCAGCCTTCTAGACCCTTCGCGGTCTTCCCCACCGAAAGCGAAATCGAAGTATGGTTTTGCCCCGCGCCTTAGCAGGCCCTCCAAGTCTTCACTACAAACGAACACTACAAACTCGACTTCTTCTTCCTTGCCTGCATGGCCAATACCGCAGTGTACATTGTCACCTGCGGGGCGATTGGTAGTGTTGAGACAACGAGTCGGAAGCAGAAGTGAGGAAGATATCGAGGCAGTAACGGTGGACGACGAGATGTTGAGGAAGGTTGTATACGGTGATTTGCTGAAACACCAGATGACCGTCTACAAAAAAAGGATTGATAGCGTGGCTGTTAGGGCTGTCACCGCGAATGGGTGCTGAATGGCCGAAATGGCTGTACACGAAATTGATGACCGCACACAGAAATGAATGAGCGATGAATCTATATACCCAGTTTCTTGATCTGCTGTCCTTATACTGCCTGTTTTCACGTCTTCCAAGCACATGCGCCCCAGATTTGGGGTCATGCTATTGTGAATTTCCCAGGCCCAAGAGAGAAGGTGTTTGGAGATAAGCAGATGGGTTCATTTGCATGATGATTGGTACAGTCTTTATACACCAAAACTCTGGTTCACACAAGTCTCATCTGCAGAGTTGCATGACGACCACTGGACTGTACACGACGATTAAGACGGACGCTAGAGTGCATGTTGATGATTCGAAATACACCAGCCCGTTCGCGTCTCGATGGCCTCTGCACTACATACAGAGGGCAATTCGGTATTTGAAAACTTTCTTTAGGCTCAGTGAGAGATGTCCGCCTACGGCTCGGCATTATAGACTAGCCGAACGCCAAACATACATACATAAGATACCTTGCTTCTTCATTATGTGTGTCAATGTGTGTAGTTCAGCGCTCAAGTATCTAACATGGTGTCATATATACATACTTCGTGAAGCAAAGATCTAAACGTTCTAGCGACGTGCATACACTAGGTTGCGGAGGAGAATGCGTGGGCAACATAATCTACCACCATGATTTAACGGAGCAAGCCCAGACTAGGTACTAGCAAGCCAGGTATCCCTTGCACGATCTCCCTTTGACGATTGCAATCAATGTAAAGTCGCCATTCCGGGGCGGGATGACGGAAGGGAGCACTTTGTAGTTTAGTAATCTCCACCCCACGATATATATCCGCCAGCTCCCCAGTGTATCAATCAATGGTATTCTACCAATGTCAAGTTCTCTACAAGCCCAATTTCTGACGTCCACAAGTCCTCGTATACCCACATGCGGCCGGTGGGCAACAACTCATGCGCATGGCGAGGATCAGTTGACGAGGTCAGGCGTGCTGATGAACTACACATGCTCACCCGCCAAATCAGCCTTCACCTTCTACCTCACCCAGGCAGCGCATCCGTGCATGTTCGTCCATGGCTGATCACATCCTTCTTCCCGCTCTCTAACCACGACTGTACCCTCGACAAGATATCAGCGGTACGACTCAGCAATGCAGGCAGCCATGTTGTCGCATACTGGTAGCACCTGCGGGACGCCGTCGGCGAGAAATTGCGCCGATTGCGGATTATCTTCCGCTGAAACTCGTCCGCGTCGCAAACAACTGGAGACACATTGCGTCTGCCCAAGTCAAGAGAACACAGTATCACGCTAGACAACATACAGGAAGACGTCGACAAAAGTATAAAACATAGGCGGACGGCGCTTCTACGGAATATCTTCCACGCATCTCGCAACTGAAGACGACACAACAACACGACTTCCCTCGGCTCGATTACTACATCAACAATCAAAATGGCGATTATCCAGATTCCCAGCGAGTACGGGTACGTTCAAATGCAACGGCAGAAACCTCAATGCATTCCCTTCCACGACCCCTCACCAAAGCCCACCCACAAACTAATCCACACACACACAGTCTCGTCCTCGCCGCCTGCGTCTCCACCTTCTTCGTCGGCGCCTGGCACGGCGGCCGCGTCGGCGGCTTCCGCAAAGCAGCCAAGATCCCCTACCCCTACGAATACGCCTCGTACGAACAAGTGCAAACCGCGTCGCCGCAATCCAAAGCCGCAATGCTCTCCTTCAACTCGGCGCAGCGCGCGCACCAGAACTTCAACGAGAACCACGTCACCGCCCTCGGCGCCATGCTCATCAGCGGACTGAGATATCCTGTTGCGGCGGCGGTATTGGGCGCGGTGTGGAGTGTGAATCGCGTGGTTTACGCGGTGGGTTACACCAGGAGTGGCGAGGATGGTGGCAAGGGGAGGTACTATGGCGCGCTGTGGATGATTGCGCACTATGCCATGGTGCTTATGAGCGGCAAGGCGGCTTACGATCTTGTCATGGCTTGAGTGGGCTGGGTATGTGGGTACACGTAGGTTGCATGGAAGACGGGGCAGAACGCTGGATTGGAGATGTACTGGAATGTACTTGAGGATGTTGGAAAACATGTCTTGGTACTTCACGGACAGGCGCCATCTGCACCTCGTCAGATGTTGACTTGGTGTGATCTGCGATGAGAATAATCCGCTTAATACGAAGATGGCATGTGTCCCGTTCCTATCTCTACGGCTTCGAACTCTCTTGTATTACGGAAATCTCCGACGTTCCGTATCAATCCACTGCTTCAGGGTCTAGCAGAACACGAGCTAGGCCTGACTTGGTTTCGTTTCTACAATGTAAACTTTTATACGTGTAGTTCACACACCATGCCGTACTGCAGCAATCGATATACCTCAAAGCTCCTATTTAGAGGTGGTCTTTACACCTCCGTCTTTCCAGTGAGCCCTGACTTCTCCAATGCGAGTATAGTACCATGTATATCCTAGACCTGGTTAGCCGCTTTGATAGTTGTATGTCAACTGACGGAAAAAACTCACCGGAAACGCGGCAATCAGACAGAGAATGTTGCCACAAAGGAAGATGCAGACAGACACAGCAATCTGAACAAGAATCAGTCTGGCGTGCTTCCACAGCTCATCCGCCGGCACACGGGAGTGTAGGACGATCACGGCAATGGGCGCTGCAAGCACCTTCTGCATCGTCCGTCGGCAAGTGTCTTGGAGGGTCAGGAAGCCGTTGCTGTGGTTGCTGTTCTGAGATGGGCGGGTCGGCAGTTCTGCGTGCAATTGAAGACCTCGGATCAAGCAAAACAGACCAAGGGCAACCGTAACGTTCAGGACATTGTGATAGCGTGTTGCAGCCGGGCACTCGAGCCCCCTCTGCGCTAAACGGTCGCATTGCTTGCGAAGACGGCGGTCGGTGGCGAAAGTAGATGCTATGAGGCGCGCAATCTGGACAACGAGGAGAGTGAGAACTGCCTGTACGCCGAGAAAGAGGATAGCATGCAGGATTGCCTTGGCATAAACGATCGAGCGGGGACCACGGTTGGTGCGTGCCAACAAGGATACTGGTCCTGAATTCGGCGGTGAGATCCCGACGGTATCGTCGACGAGAACGTAGCTATGCGTCTGACGGGTGCGACGGGATAGCCAGATGCGGGCGATCTCAAAAGTGATGGAGAAGATGGCGACGAGGAGCAGAGTAACGAGTGCGATGTTGGCTGTCGTCGAGAAATTCATGGCTAGGTAGAGAGGGAGATCTGGGGTTCAGAGTCAGTGTGTGTTGTGCCAGTCGCTTTGGATAACGTACTTCCCCGCCATAGCTCTTGCCATACGGACTGCATGGGTGGATCTTGCTTTGACATGCTGGTTGCGGGTAGAGTTTGATCCGGGGAACAGGAGAGATTGATGGGTGGAAGGGCCTAAGGCGAACAATCGATTGCTATGACGTGGCAGGGTGGAGGTGAGAGCGCCTCCTCCGTCGCGCCTTCCTCACGTTGGGCACGACCATGAAATGTGAATCATTCCGTTGAATCATATTTGTTTGCTGCTCTTTCACTCTAATTGACTCACTCCCGCTCGTACATGCAGAACTCAAATTCGACACCCTGCTCCTCAATCCCACCCTCTTGGATCTCCTCTCCAGTGAATGCCTGCACTTCCTCTCTGCTCGCGTTCCTCCAAATTGTCGTCTCTCCCAGATTGACAGGGAAAAATGTGTCGCACTCGAATTCTTTCTTTATCTTTGTGAGGAGAACTCGTTTTGTCTGCGGAAGTTGAAGCGCCGTTTCGTATATAGTTGCTCCGCCAATAACAAAGATCTTATCCAGCTCTATCGCTGAGCCTTGGAGTCTGCTATCATCCTGCTTCTCGAGCTGTGCTATCGCATCCAACACACTGGAGCAGACCATTGGTCCTTCGACCTCCGTATTCTTGTCTAATTCACTCTTGAACTCTTCTGGCTTCGACGTAACGACGATGTTTAGGCGATCTTTCAGAGGCCGAAACTTGGGGGGTATGCTCTCCCACGTCTTGCGACCCATGAGCACAGCGTTTACTTTCTTGATGCTCGCCGTGGACGCTGAAGGCGATGTACGCTTCGTTACTCGCGCAAAGAACCCCATCTCTTTTTTAAGCTGCGGCCATGGCAAGCCTCCACCGTTTCCAATTCCGAGACTCGGTGTGGCTGCAAGAATGAGAGTCAGAGTTGGTGTTTTAGGTGGCATTTCGGAGACGTTGATGTTGTGCGTAGCTGAGTTTTCCATCGATGTCGTGTTGTTCGGCTTGGTAGAAGAGCGTTGGTCCGGCATCGCACGACGTGTCTGGGTATTGGAAAAGCTTCGGGCACTGAGAGCTTGATCGTGAAGCCGAAATGCAAGCTGTATGAAGGTTAGACGTGGGATGTTGCATTAGTTGCACGCGGGCTTGCGAGCGGCGCTAGCGGAAACAACAGAACGTGATCCAGCCGCAGAGGTACGGACGTTTGCATGTGTCACGCCATGCTATTTTATGCTTGTGACACGTTTGCGCAATGTTGAGAAAATCCCATCCCTTCACGTTCAGCACGGATGATTGATGACTTGCATACGAGTTGACATTCCCGCACGAAAACGAGTTATAATACACAGGCCGGATACCTTCGATCATGCACAAGAAAATCCAACACCTGAAAGCACGCTGACAATACGACACGCTGCGCTGCATCATTCCATCGTGGCCGTTCCAAACCCCCACGCCGGAATGGTCAAGACATTGAACGCCTAATAATTACACCTTCGCAATGCCGCTACCAGATCGGAACCATTTGCATGAAGAAGCAAAACCTCGTGCAACCCCTTTCATGCAACGTCGTTCTTGTTTATCGAGTTTCCAATGGGTATCTTTTGGGTTATTTTAAGGCTTGCTGTAGAGCAAAAATCCAGACTTCCTCCACATACTCGAATACTGGTTACTCTATCGCGGAGGAGGCATGCCATACTATCCGCTTTCGCCACCTTCACCACTGCTCTTGAGTGGTATCGATAACGATATCTTCTTTGGCGTGCCACCATCTTTGCCAGAGTTGACATTGGGTGACTTCCGACGCAAACTCCGCAAACTTCCAGAACTGGCGTTACTAGATGTGGAAGCGCGTCGCTTTGGCCCAGCAGAGGTGGATATGCTTGCGAGGAGTTCGTCCTCTTCATCCTCCTCTCTACGGCGCTTCTCCGATATCCGTTCTGGTGGTGATCCTGCGGAGGTCGAGTTGGGGGATGTACTTCCTTCTGGCAACTGGGTTGTCGACATTTTGTGAGCGGAGGCGGGCATATCGGTGGCGAGGTCGTCCATATCGGCATCGTCGGCATCATCATCTGGATAGTTGACGAGGGGTCGCACTGGCGATGCGCCATTCATGGCCAACTTTCCGGCCCCAGACAAATGATCATCCTCATCGTCTGATGTGTTGAAATATGCCTCCTCATCTGGGTCTGCATCTTTCAGGCCTTGGCCCCACTTGCCACCATTGACAGCCGCGGCATGTCGTGCAGGTGTGTCGCTATCCACACTCGTAAAGGAATTGTCCATCTCTTGGGTCGTTACCGGCTCATGGTTCTGATCATACTTGAGTATCAGGTTTTGGAACGTATCCACGTACGTAATCTCCTGTAATCTTTCTCTATATGTCTCGACAAGATGCTGAACAATCATCTTGATGTTCTCGCGCCTGATGAATTCAAACAACTCCAAGCACGCCGAGTTGAGGAGATTATCGCGCGGCATGGTCTCGTATAGTATCTTCAAGATCGGTTCAAACAGCTCGTGCTGGATGATCTGGCGGTTGTGCGTCTCATCGTGAAAGCCGAGAACAGTGCGGAAGTACTTGAGAGCGGCTGGGACCCGTTAGTGGAAGCCATCATATCGACGTAGGGGGACTCACTAAGCTTCAGATGCTTCTCTGGGCAACCCATGAGCTGGGCAACCCGCACTGCCAGACCTTCTGAAAGAATGAAGTATTTGCTACGGAAGGAATGTTGACGGATGAAGAAGCACAGAACCTCGACTAAATGGGCGTAAAGCGATACTTCTTGCATGGATAAGTCATCCACTGCAGCATGTTAGTTTGAATCACAAGGGGACGAACAATCACACTTACTCGACTCTCGGCCCTCAAGATCCTTGAGAGGCTGGAACAACTTCCTCGCAGACTCGTCATAGAAGTTCTGTATGAAGGAGTCTGTTTGGGGTATAGATGGCAGTTGCCCCCTCATTTTGGCCAGGAAGTCGCTGTTCGTCCGCCCGAGGGCTTCTATGGAAGCTGAGTTGGCATTGGGGTCAAGGAGGATCTTGATCGCATCAGCCATCTGCGCTTTGACCCCAAGGTCTACCTCAATGAGAAGTAACTCGATCAAGGTATCGGTGAGCGGTTTTGACTTTTCCTGAATGGCCTTGAAGATGTAACTTCGCACCATCAAGGCATCATGATCGATCAGAGACACCAGTATGTCAGTTCCTGCTACGCGAACTGAAGCGTCCTGGTGCTTGAGCGCAAACTGTATCACTTCCAGCAAGCCACTGCTGATGAAGTTCTGATATAGCTGTGCCCTAACGTTGGCTTGCAAGCTCTTCGCAATTGCGCAGCATTGCTGGATGAACAAGACGGCGTCCTTCTTCCTCGACAAGTTCTGCTCTTTGGGGGAGAAAATGCTGAAAAGCTCTTTCAAGAATGGGCCGTTCGCTTGGAGATGCTGGACGATGTCGACCTGGTGAAAGAAGATGAGGGAATTCAGAACGCTGAAAGTAGGATCGTCGAGGATGCGCGCAAGAACCACGTCTTTGAGGTATTGGAGTCGGTACGTGTAATGTATCTTCCGTTTGATGTTTTCGTCTTCTATCCGTACGACTTCCTTGAACTTGGATTCATCGGCGAGATATTGTCGATGGTTGGCTTTGTGTAGAGGAAAATCCGGGTCGTCTGCGCAGTGTCAGCAAGCCATGTGCGAGGTCGCGGGGGCCGAAACTCACATTCCAGAGCCCCAACGACACCCAGAACCACCGGGTCTGTTACGACGTATTCAATGATGGCGGTGTCGTTGAGCAAGATAAGCATCTTTACGATGCTGCACAGTCGGTGGAGGTCTGACACGCTTTCGAGGTCTTCGGCCATGTCCACCAAGGGGATGAGTTTTGGTATGTAATCTTGGGCGAGTATGAACTTGGCCAAGGCTTCGCGGCCGCCGGGCGTCGAATTTGCAGCGCGCATGTGGTTCTCGATTTCGTGGAGGTTGCCGAGGTCGGGACTGGGAAGTAGGATGGGACTGATGTGATCGATGTCGTCTGAAAGACCATCGTCTGTGTCAGCATTAGCTTGCTGGAAGCTGGGGACGATTCATGTCACGTACCCTGAGCGAGGGCTTGCAGCCGCGATTGAACTTCATTGACAAAGTCCCTGTTCTGCGTCAGCATACGACGTGGACTCGGAAAGGCACACGCGGCTCACCATATGCTAGCGCAGCCCTCGGGCTCCTGGAAGCTGAGGGCCATGTCGGTGCCATTTTGCTCGGTCCATACAATGAGCGTGTCTGCACATGTTTAGCTGCTGCGATGCCATGGGCGCGGACAGGCGCATACCCTGCTGTTTCTGGTAGCCGTCGTCTTTGGAGATGCGCGTCTCGAGGAGTTGTCGCGACTGGTCGTCCTCGGAGAGGACCACAATCCTCGCTTCCTCCTGCTGCGGTCGCACAAGTTAGCCTGGAACGCCTGTTGGGCCAGATACCGCGACAAGTGCGCCAACTGTGAGGGTGGCTCGCGGGTCATGTGGGGGAACGTACGCTGGCGACGACGCCCTTGCAGAAGCCGGTGCCTCTGTCGAACCAGTCGTTGTTCTTGAGTTCGTAGACCTTGACGCGCTTTCGTTCGCTCGCAGGCGGCGGAGCGACGTTTGCCATAACCGGCGGCGGCGTGTCGACACTCTCCGGCTAGGGCGTGTACCCTCCGGAGGCAGGCGGGCGGTCGCGATCGTTTGCGCAGTGTGCAGCGGACAATTGGCGGTGGATGGGGCGGAGGTCGGGGGTGGGCGATTGGGGCGGCTGCGTGTTGTGCTGGCGGATGACGATTAGGAGGCGCGGCGGCGCTTGCGGGCTATCGCAGAGCTCGGGAACGCGACAAGAAGGGCGTGGATGGGGCAGGCCCGGCGCGCGCAGCAGTCGATGGTACAACGCGATGGCGCGGTGACGGGGCAGGGTGATGGAGATCAGCCTCGGAACACTTTGTCGCGTCGTGGGTCGCAAAACGAAGGCGGGAGAGCGCACAGGGCCTTGGCCACTAGCTGCTTGGAGCGCAATGCCAGTGCGTGCCTGGGCAGGTAACCACCACGCGGAACCCTGGCGAGCGCGGCGATGTGTGGGCGCGGTCTGCGAGGTGTGTGTTGCGGGGTAGTAATCCGGTATGCAGTCGCCCGACCCGTTGCCAGCCTTGGTGTGAAGGAGTGCAGCTTTCGCCTCGTATGACGGCGCCCGCTGAGATGCGCGCTTGCCCACGCCGGCTTCACTGACGCAATCAGCTTGGCACCCACAGCTCCACCAGACCCGTGGACGCCGCACCACCATCGCAACCTACGCCCATGGCCCTTCACACGCACCTGCCCGACTGGCTCTGTGCCCTCGTCTCCAGGGCTACCTGCCTGAGTACGTAGGCAGATAGGCAGGCAGCTCTGGGGCTACCCATTCGTCACGTGCCGTTGGCGGTATAGAGGAAGGCACCATGGTCAGACAACCTTCGCTGTCTCCCACTGCGACCGGGCCGCCCATTGCCATTTGGCCTGCGATACCACGGGGCGGGGGCTCTTCGCTGCGCACGCCACTACCTCTCGAGCAAGGCTCGTACGATGCACTCTCGGTAGATGCACAGCGCGTCCACCTGGACTTATCTGGGCTGGCATCCGAGAGTCTCGACTTGCTGTACATACGTCCTTCCATAGCGAAAGTGGTGCACGAGCTGCAGAGCTGACAGCCACAAGTATGCATGCTGCGGGACGCGCTTCTCAATAGCTGGCCGCCCGCCCACCTTCAAACGTCCCCCGGCGCCCATCCCAATTCCACAGTGCGTCGTGGGAGCCCATGGCACTGCGCGAGCCGTCACCGTTGCGGACAACTCTATGAACCATTGCCTAGGCAGACGCCTCGTCATATATCCTACGAGCCTCGACACTACTAACTATAGACACGGCATACGTAGATGCATCGGCAATGGTCTAGCCATAGTCTTCCAGGGTTTGGGGATGATAGCGCGGGAGGCCAATCACCAATGGCACACGTTGCGCCATGTTCCGCGA